CTTTTTCCCAAAATCCCAAGAATGAGATCCATTAGAAATAACCGCTTTGACTCAGGGTACGGGGTCTCGGTCGGGAACCGACCGAGCTGGGTCGGGGCCGGGGTGGGGGGGGGAACCAAGCAGGCGCTGCGGCTCCTTGCGGGTTCCCACCCGGGTTTTCAGCCCCGAAACCGAAGCGAATTTGGGGGAGAAAAAGCCAAAGTCTTGCTTGCAGCGGGGTGTGTCCTCTTACCATTCCCTCCACCTGGCATTTTCAGGTGCCGTGGCAGCACGGGACTTATTTCCGTGCTTTTTAAGCACGGAACCAGAGCGGGCGGGTGCGCTAATGAGGGTGCAGCACCTTTTTTTGAGCAAAAAAGGGGCTGAGGGAGAACAGAGCTGATTTTTTGGGGCAATTTACCCTCCAATGAGGCTAAAAACGTACGAGAGAGAGAGGGAGCGGCCATTCACCCACTGCCAGTTGCTTTCACTGTCCATGTCGGTCAGGCCCAGCCAGAACACCCGATCCTTCATGATGTGATTTGCCAGAAATTTCTGCAAACGGAGTGGGGAGGGGGGGAAGAAGCGTCAGGAGGGGAAGCAGAAGGCGGCGGCAAAGGGATTCAGCAGCGCCGAGGCCAGCGCTGGCAGTCGGTGACATCGGGGAGCCCGTCCCCTGCAGGGGACAACTGTGACGTGCCGCAAGCGTGACAAGAAAATGCAACGTTTCCTGTCGGGAATGGAAAAAAGTGCTGCAATTTCTAATATCTGGAGGAAGAAGCTTTTTTCAGACCCAATGTGCTTTTTAAAAGCTGGGTCGGTGAAAGCATCCTCCTGAATGGGAGGCAGGGATCGTCTAAATTGGGGTAGAAATGCTAATTTGTGCACAGTTTGGGTTGTATTTCTGTAATTCATTCTGCAACTTCGGTGATTTCTAAATAACTTTTCATAATTTCTCAATAACTTCCGTAATTTCTAAATGATCGCGAGGAGGGATCGCCGTGGAGGCATGGCGCATCCACCCCAAACTCAGGTGAAGCGCTTCTCGCACCCCGGGAGTCCCTTGGGGTCACACAGACCCCAGGAAGGGCAGTCGCTCCCTGCGGGCTTTTCCCCAAAAATGCCTAAATCACGCCAGTTCTTTTGGGGACAGATTCATCCCGTTTGGCCAAATCACTTCAGAACCAAGTGGGAACCTCAAGCGGTTGCATTTTCCCGCCTCCGCGGGCAGTCTTGAGTCGCACGTGCTTAACCTCCAGCTTTCCATTTGTGGAATTGGAGTCTAATATTCTTCGAAACCCATGAAATCGGGGTTTTTTCTCCCGCTTTTTACAGGATTTCTCAGCTTACGTTTTCCTGCTCAGTGTCGACTACGGCCAGATGGGCGTTGAAGTCGTTGCAGGATTGTTTAGCAGCCAGCCAGGGTTGCTTGGTGGTGGAGAAGAAATAGCAGGTTTTGGCGAACTGCTGCCAGCCGGCGGGACACTTCGTGCAGAGAATTTCTGAGGGAA